GTGGCTGTCCACGGGTGCTTCTGACATGGGCAGAACCTGGAAGGCTGAAGCCCCAGGAAGGACAGACAGCTCACACAGAAAGGCCTTCCTCTTCTTACCCCGGCACAACTTTCACAGGACTGCATACACATGGAGAAATACACAGTCACACACAAGGGTGTGACATGTTCACCCTCCATAAATATCCTCCACACAGGCAGACACACAGACAGGCACAGAAACTTACAGCCAATCACGCAGACACAGGTCACACATGTGCGCACACAAAATACACAGACCGTGTGTATGCACATTACATGTGCACTCACAGCTGCCTCGGGATATCTGTGAGTCTTAGAGCCCCAAGCAAAGGAGATTGGCTTGCCAGTCAGATTCCAAGCTAACCTCTTCTCTGTCCACAGCATAGCTGCTTAGTAGGCTCAGCCACTGACAAGCATGTGTGTGTGTATGTGTGTGTGTGTGTGAGTGTGCGCGCACACACAGAGACACCACAGCCTGCCTGTGGGACCTGGAATTATGTGAGGGGGGATCTGCACTGATGTCAGGTTCTGGAGATGAGAGCAAGAGCAGTTTACAGGGAGCAGCTGGGGGTCCTCTTGCCCTGTAGCATACTTCTCTCTGGCGTGGCCCCAGTAACTTGTGACCTGGGGTGAGGAGCCCCAGGCCCCGTTATTGGCCTGGCTCGCCAGGTCCGGCGACCCCCTCCCTGTACCAGGCCACCGCCCCCTCTGGGATGCAGGATGGAGGGTGGATGAAGGGTGGTCCTAATGGAGTGGATGCTTTCCTTCGGAAAGTTCATTTGCAGGTTTACATCCAAGGGTGTTGTTTCCTTACGTCGCAGCCAGAGGCTGGGTTTCAGATGTCCTCCGCTGACTCTGTCTGCTTGAAGTTCTGCTTATTTGTTTGGATTGGCCAGCCAGAAGTTAAAATAAATAAACTCTGCTCCTTTTAGGATCTTGCTCAGCACACTTTGGACATGCAACCTGCTGCCCGGGACCGGGCTAAGAAGGAGCTCTTTGTTGATGCCACTGGGAGGGTTTTCCCTGTGCTCTTCAGGGGCCTCACTGTCTTGCTGTCTCCACGTCCCTGCCCTCCGTCTACTCTGTTCCGTCCTGAAGCTGCGGGAAATACTCCTCTGAGAAGCCTCCCTGGGCTCAGAAGGCTTGACAGGTAGACACCGCCACACGCTGTCCCTTCTTCTAGGTCTGGCTGGGGATCTGGCAATGAACTCTGCATCTCTCAGGGCGCCTGGCTTGTCCCTATCACCTCCTCCCCTCCACTGGTGTCCCACTGGCTCTAACAGCTTGGAGCACAAGGAGTGATGTTTTGTTGCTCACATGGGTGAAGTCTTATAGGCTTAGGGAGGTGGTCTGTCTTCCTGGGCACCCCGGAAGCCATGTCTGGCTGTGCCACTGAATATGCTATTGGATGTCTGGCGGATGACAGCTAATGGGAGCCCCAGCCTTGAAACATACGGTGGGCACCATTGATGGAAGAGCTGAGAGGAGCTGGGAAGACCCTGGGGACTCTGGGGAGACAGAGGTCATGACAGGAGTGTCTGGAGAACAGAGTCCCCGGAATCCTCCACTCCTGTCTCCTCCACCAGCCCTCAGATCAGTTGGAATCTTGGACTGATCTGTGTCTTGTTCTATTTCCCTACAAGAGGAGCTGATGGAACGCTCCGACAAGCAGGGGATGGGCTGGTGAGTTGCCATGTGCTGTTGGCAAACCAGAGAACTCCAATCCTCGGTGGTGGCCAGAGCCTGAGGACCGGGCTCCCAGCCACACTCAACATAGGTGATGACCCAAGAACAGTGTGTGCTTCAGGCAAAATGATTCCTTGTTGTCTCATGAGCAATCATGCCCTTCCTGATGGGCAGACACCTCTGTCCCCACCACAAATGGGGGTCAGCAGGTTTCCCTGTATTTGATCTCAGCTACCCCTGGGTAGAACAGGGTGGGTTCCAGCCAGTGATCGCTCTCCTGGGATGCTCGGTGTGTCTGTTTCTCAAAGCTCCACAAGGCAGGGGACAACAGTAGCTCTGCCCTTACGTCAATGCCTTCCCATTATCAGCACCCGCCAGACAATGGGGAAATGGACATTCGGGTGGCACAGCTCTGCCCAGGTTTATGCTGCCTGGCTCATGCCCAGGTGAGGTACACTCCTGGCCACTTGGACTCACTGCCAGTGGTTATCACATTCCAGAGAAGCTCCCAGAGCCTCTGTTGGAAGACTCACCCTTGAGGAAAGGGGTCTCCTTATGCTCACACCTGGCAGGCCTTTCTTCCCTGAGAGTCCCCATTCCCTTCATGAGCAATCAGGGCTTCCTGAGGCAGATTCCTGCTTAATTCAGGTTCCCTTTGGCTCTGCGGCATCTAAACAGTTTCCTCCACCCCCCCCCATTGTGTATGTCCCTGTGTCTGAGCAGAGGGACAGGCCCCCATCTCCATCTTCCTTTCTCACCAACTCTTCTACCCAAAACACTCAAACTCAGTCCCTGTGGCCTATGGCTCAATCTGACAGCAACTTAAATACCCTGAGCCCTAGTCTCCGTGGGGTGGAGGTGAGCCCACACCCATCAGCAGGTGTGAGCTATAAACACATCAAGGTCCAGCCACACTCAAGGACTGAGGCACAGCTTACAAGATCAACCTTAAGACAGGACGCTGAGGGACAGAAGCCAGTAGTGAACCACACATTCTGCTTGGTCAGGCAAATCAGCAAAGAACTAAGGACTGGAGCGCTGGGGACAGGAGAGGGATGGGGGGGCGGGGAGCAGGAACAGGGACTACTTTAGAGTTGCTTCTGGGGAAGAAGAAAGTGCCGTGGGAAAGAGGAGAGAGCATGACTGCACAGCTCTGCGGGAGTGCTAAACAGCTCAAATGCTAAACATATGTATTTTGCCACAATTTGCAAAAATAAGCAAACCCTTGACACTTAAGTTGGTTTAAAACAGAAAGAAGAAAACAAACAAACACTAAACAAAACCAAACGTTTTTTTTCCCCACCAGAGCCTCAGGAGCCCCCTCCTGCCAGCTGTTTTCTCCTGCCCCCTGGGGGAGGGGCACTTCTTGTGGCATGGCTTCACTGGAAAAGGTGGGAGTTCCGGCCCAAGAACCCGTCTCCTCTCAGATGAGGGGACTCTGTCCTACCAGGCAGTTCCTCTGTCCCCAAACTGGAGAAAGATGCTTTGAGAAGGGAGTAGTGGGAGCCAGGAGGCCGGGGGCCGGGGGTGGCTTTGCCTTGTCCTCCTGCCATCTTCCTCCGCCAAGGTCCCCCCCTGCCCTGTGATTAGCAGCAAGAGGATGGCTTGTCTAATCCAGCTCCCGCTGAAACAACAGGGTCCCTAATTGAAATGTATGAGAAACAATTAAGAGTAATTGGCATCAATTAATACGTGATTTTCTCCAAAAGGGTACACAACAAGAGGCAGAATCGCATTACAGTTTCCACGGGCACACGGACGGCTTCCACGGGGACACATGGTTTCCACAAGCAGGCACATGCAGCTTCTACAATTACATTCCTCCCAAAGACAGGTTCGTGATGGCGGGAGGAATGGGTCTGAATTCTCACACTTGACGGCAGAGGGGCTGATATGCATTGGTATGCATGTTGGGAGCGTGTGTGTGTGTGTGTGTGTGTGTGTGTGTGTGTGTGTGTGTGGTGTTGCACAAGGTTACAAAGAGGGAAGTGCCTGCCGGTGTGCCCCTGGAAGGTGGGCCTGCCATACAAAGACCCCAGACTTGCTCCCCGCCCTGGGACCACCCCCTGTCAGCTCTGTTTAGGATATGCCAGCCTTCCCTCATCCTCAGAGAGAGATTGGGGTTCCACATCTGCGCCAGGTGACCCCGAGTCCCTGAAAGCGGAAAGCGCTGGCTGGCCCCAGCAAGCTGTACGCCCTCACTGCTAGGGTCTCCAAAGCAGAGCCTGCGTTGGGCTCCATTAGCCCAGGGGGGAAACCATAGCACTCGGGATGGGAACTGGGATGGCAGCTGCCCTCTCTGGCCAGGCCAGCTGCAGCCTGCACCACCCAGCTGCTCATGCGGGTTAGGGCTGTGGCGAGGACCCTACCGACAGGTGGGATTTTTCCGTAAGACCTGGCTCGCTGAAGATTTAGGCACCCTCCAACTGCACTACTTTTCTGTAGCCAGTACAGAATTAAGGCCTGGAATCCTTCCTCATTTCACTCCTTCAATTCACTCATCCATGCCTCCCCACTTGGGCCTTGGCCTCCGATTTAGGGTTCTGCAGTAGGCCACGCCCACTGAGGAGCAGATCCTGCCCATCAATCTGGTATGAAGTGGGGGTTCGTCAAGTCTTAGGTTGGCTCCCTAAGTCTTCTCTCCTGTGCTCAACATCTTCACGGGATGTGCCCCCCCCCACACACACTGTGACAGTACGGGGAGCCACACTCTGGGACACAGGCAATGCCCACCCACCCCTCAACCCACAGGGGGGTCCAAGCCCACCCAGGAGTGAGCCTTCTCCCTGGTGTTCACAGCCTGCTTTAGGCTGTCCCCCGGGGGTGGGGGGAGCCCATGGTGAGCAGACACTGTCTGTTGTGTGGGCTCAGCCCCCTCCTTATCAGATGGAGCAGCTTCAATTCCCAGCATTCAGGTCCATTTCCTGTGGACTGAAAGCCCAAGCTCCAGACACAAAGGGCTGGCCCTTATCTCAGCACCCCCTGACCCCAGATGCACACGCCCCAGGCAGCTCTCATTTCAGCAGGTGAGACAGTTACTGGTGAAGGGGGAGGAAGGGTCTGGTGGGCAGGCAGTAGGGAGTAGGGAGTGGGGCTTCTAAGTCTGCAAAGGAAGAGGCCCTTGGGTCTGAGTTTTTCTATCTTTGCCTCTAGGGTCAGCCTGAGGTCCTCCAAGAGATTATCACACACACACACACACACACACACACACACACACACACACACACACACACACACACACACACACACGGAGGCGGGGGTGGGGGGGGGGGGGACTGTCTGCTTTGCCAGCCTGACGCTCTGCAGCCCTCTGCTCTCGCTGAGGTCAGGGAAAGGGCAGAATTAACAGGGGAGCTGAGCTGTGGGTCCCGCATGTCCAAGGTCCCAGGAATAGATAGACAGATGGCTGGGGGACAGGGGAGCAGCCAGGGAACAGGAGGCAGAATCCAGCTGCACAGGAGGGGACTCAGGACTGCTCTGTGCATCTGCATTCGCAACACTGTTGCCGCCCAGACACAGCTTGGAGGCTTAGTTCTGGTGGGGCAAGGGTTAAGTGCTTCTGTGTGACTTGACAAGTCCAAGGTGAAGTGGGTGGCCAGAAGTCTCAGAGGCATCATTAACCCTCTTGGCTGAGAAATCTCACAGCCCTCTGGATAAGCTCTGTGTTATCACCTGTGATAGGGATCCCAGGCCCAGAGCAGAGGGCTGCATTCTTAAAGGGACAGACCTCAAAGCCTCTTCCGGGTCCTGTGCCCTTGCCCAGGCTCACCTTCCAAGTACATTCCTTCCCAGCTGGAGGAACTCGGCTCAGAGACTCACCAAGTCCCACTAGGTGGGGGGTCCTGGCTTATAGAACATGGGGTCTTCAAAACTTTAGCAATGGTGGATTCTCTCGGCCTCCCTACTTTTCTTCTTCCCCAGTAATGCTGATTTTCCTACAGCCAGGGGTCACTCTCAACCCCTGAAAATGAGGGCTCACACTGGGCTGGTGGCCTTAGACGCCTGGACTGGCCTGGCTGGGTAGCAGTGGCCAGGCACTATGGAGTTTCCTTGGACTAGTAGGGCCACACCCTCTTAAGCCCACACCTCTCCTCTGTCTGGTCTTCCCTTAGCGATGGGGTTGGACTAACGTGAGTACAAGCCCGTACAGACTGTGACGCTGACTTTGCCGAGTGCTGAGGGTGACATCTCACTGCTCCTAAAAGTGCAGCTTCGACAGGTCTGCAAAGTTGCATTCTCGTGGTTCACCATCCCCGGGGGTTTAGACGAGTTCCCATTACATCAAGTGTCAGACCCAGTGAAGAAGCAGAGAGAGTCGCACCCTGGGCTTAGACCTTCCAAGGCAGAGCCCACAAAATCAAAATCCCCATGGCAGGCTCATGGCCTCCACTGGGGCTAACTTCATCTATCTTTACAGGCCCCTCACCTCCAACCCATTGGGCATCTCTAGCTCTCAAGGCCACAGGTCACCAGAATGCCACATACTTGAGGGTATCTGAGGATAGAGGACCCAGGAATGGGGCCCATGACTCATTGAGGGTTTTGAGTACCAGGAAATACACCCCGAGATGTAGGTCTCATATTACCTTGGAGTCACTGAACCCTGAATGGTTCTCACCGCACCTTCCCTGCACGGAGTTGCATCTCGGTGCCTTTGTCAGCCTCCAAGGTAGAGGGCTGGCTGCTAGAGGTGGTGGAGAGGCTTGCAAGAGCTTTCTCGTTTTTCTAAGAACTGGTCCATGGACAGAGAGCCCCTTCAGTACCAAGGAGAAAAGACTTCTGCTAGACCAGAGGAACAGGACCCCAGAGTCCTGTGTCGCTACGGAGCCAGCCAGCCCTGGGGACCCTGAACCTGGGACTGAGCAGGAATCTGGGTGAGTAAAAACTACACTCTTCTTCCTTACTAAGGAAAACGAGGCATGAGAGAGGGGCATAACGGGCCAGGATCCCATTGGCTGTAGGGCCTTTCTTGCGTTGATGTCTGAGCCCGATTCTCAGGGTGGAGGCTCATTCTTGGGTCCAAAGAGACAAGCTCCAGGCACAGGAGTGGCTCCTCTGGCTGCCCTCCTTGTTCTGTGTGTGTGTGTGGGGGGGAGTTTGTGCTGTCTGTGGCCAGTTTTGGCTTTATCCCTCAGTCCAGGGACAGAGACCAAAGCCTTTGATTCAAGAGGACATCTGCGCATTCCTCCCCAGCTTTGTGAAGAGCCCAGCTGCCAGAGGAGTGATGAAACCACTAGACATGCTGTCATCTTCCCGTGCCCCCATGAAAGGCCAGTTGACACAGCCAGGGGCTTGTTATCCGCACAGGGGGACGGTTTCAGTCCTCACTGTCACTTAAAGCAGAAACCAGAGACTGCAAGGCACAAGACAACTAACTCTCCACGACAGAACTTGACCCTAAGCACGGGGGAGTTCCAAGGCTTGACCAGGAAGCACTAATATCCCTGGAAGGGTCAGCGACAGCTGACAACCCAAGCAGGGATGGGCTCAGGGTATGTTGGAGAATCTTCCAGGCTCGGCTGTGCCCCAGCTGAGCGTGTTCCTATGCACCTGTGTCCAGGAAGCCCAGCGTGCCCTCAAGTGTGGGGCATGGTCCTGAAAGTAATTCAGCTCAAGAGAGCATTCAAGATCCCCGAGGTGTCTCTGGGAAATAGTGTGTCGGTCAGACCCTAGAACCACCCTGAAGGGAGGCGAGTCTCGATCTGGATCTGTCTAGTCTAGGCTGGCCCCGTGGGCTTGTTTGTAGGCGAATGCCTTGAGTATGTTAGTTGGGGTAGGGTGACCTGCCCATTGTGAGTGGCTCCATTCCCTAGCAGGGGACTGCAGACGGCATGGAAGCCAGGCAAACTGGCTGAGCATGGGTGGGCATGCATTCATTGCCCTCCCCGCCCCCGACTACAAAGTTAACGTGTTCCGCTCGTTTCGAGCTCCCGTGGCCCTGGCTTCTCTACCCTAATAGACTGTGCTTCGATCTGGGAACTAAAGCAAGACCTTTCTTCCTTAAGTCACTTTTCTTTTTTTCGGTCAGAGCGTTCTATTACAGAAACAGGGAAAGAAACTAAGATACTTGGTGCCCCTAGCTCTCTGAAGACCTTGTTTCTCTGCTCAACAAGCCCCTGGGTCCCCATAGCTTGGATCTGTTCTCTGGGTGTCCAGATCTGGGGAGACAGTGGCATTGTTTCCCAAGCCTGGAAGATTCTCCAACACACCCTGAGCCCATCCCTGCTGGGCAGCTTCAGACAGCAGGTACATACACCTTGCGGGTAGCTCCCTGTTAATGGCCTGTTGGGCAGCCATGGCGCTCTCTCTCTCTCTCTCTCTCTCTCTCTCTCTCTCTCTCTCTCTCTCTCTCTCTCTCATCCTACAGGCTTTGTTTCAGGTCAGCACACGCTCTCTTTTTAGGTCTCCTGCATGCTATTGTCAAATCTGGGGTTTCATGCAGCCTCCTCCCCCCCCCCACTGCCTATGGACCCAGTGAGCTCAGTATTTTGCTCCTGTGCCTGATATTCCCTAGTAAGGGAGAGAAGCATAGTCAGAGGATAGAAGAGGGAAGGAGGCTGATGATGATCAGGGAAGGTTCTAAGACCATGTAGCGCGACTTAAGCTTCCCGCCATCCGTACCCCTCCAGAGCAGGCAGCACCAGGCTGAGACGGTGCACTGGGGTGCGGCACCTGGGTACCATGCACCTGCCTGTCTGCCGTCCCCCATGCTGCTAAGGCCTTAACCTCTAAGAAAGGCTCAGTGTTGTCACCCAGGTGTCTACATGGGAAGTAGCCACGAGCAGCAGCCCCCACCCCCCCTCCAGTAACTGGAGCACTGCTGGGTCGAATGACAGTCCTGGGAGCACATTTCCCACCTGGGACTCGGCCATGGCCACCCGGTGTTGGTCCTGATGGTAGGGAGAGGTCACTGAAAGGTGACTCCTGGGTGTCTGACTGAGGGGGGAGGGGGAGAGGGAATGGAGGGAAAGAACAGACAGACAAGCAGGGGTATCTCTGCCTGTGATGCTGCCGGCGATGCCCAGGCTTCCCCGTTGAGAGCAGTCTTGGTCTTCCCCACCAGCCACAGAACCGTCTCCTCCTCGAGTGAAGGGGTCCAGCACAGGCCAGCGCCCATGGGTTCAGACCGTGTCCCCGAAGGGTTCAGAAGGCCGCATGAGGAAGTCCCATGGGACACTATGCCAAGTAAGAATTCAGAAAGGAAAAAAAAAGTCCAGATGTAGATACAGACCACACTCTAAATTCTAGTTTCTCTGCCCTGATTACAGGCCATTGACTTCCCACTGCACACGAGGATCTTGGGTTCTGAGGGCCACTCAGCTGCTCCAGCCTGCCCACATACGCCTTACACCGTGGCCAGTTACCTGCGGAGGCCCCGCCTGGCATGTCTGAAAGCCGACTCCTGTGAGGAGCAGTCTTTCTGTCTGAAACAGAGGAGACATTGTGCCCAGTGAGGCCAAGCGTGGCCTGTGTGGGGCCAAGGATCCACCTCTGTCCCTGGCCTCGAGACAAAGTAACCTGCTTCTGCTGACAGGCCCTGTGGAGAGGGGACCGTCAAAGGCCACCTGCTGGCTGCTACCCGGACGACGTGATCCTTGCTCTGGCCTTCATCCCTCCGGTTAGCCCTGGCACTGCTGGCCAACACAGGTGTCTGGGGGATGGGGTGCCAGAGTGGTGGTGAGGATGGTGGTTCTGCCAGCTCTGGAAGTACCCGCCCTTGCTATCTGTGGCCCCGGTGAGCCATGTTCCAGAGCGTCTCATCACTTAACCAAGTCACGGAATGGGCGGGGCCAGTCTCATCACTTGCCCGGGCCAGAGGACTTATCACTGGGGTGGGCACAAGTCTAGTCAGTGGAGAGGCCAGCCCATTGTCTCCCGGCCATGCAGTTACGGTTACGGACCAGGATGGTCCTTGGTCCTGGGAGTGGAGTCATCAAGAGGAACTGTCAGGAGATGAGGAAGGGGAGGAGGGATGGTGAAAGGAAGAGTAAAGGAAGTAAAGACAAGACAGGCAGGAAAGAAGGGGGAGAGAGAAGAAGGGAGGGAGGAAAGGAGGGAGGGAGGGAGGGAGGGAGGGGAGAGGATGGACCTATGGACTGTCAGGTTAGTCTCTTCAGCCCTCTGTGTCCTCACAATAGTGTGCCATTTCCTCCCATTCCCTCCCATTCCTCCCTGTCTAGATTCCTCCTTCAGCCAGGACCACTTCCTCCCATCCGTGAGAAAAGGAGACGGGCAACCCCACAGTAGAGAGCTCTAAGGGAGGCAGGTGACCCCACAGTAGAGATCCCCTGTATCTTCTCCCAGTGAAAAATCTTCCCCTCTGCCTGCAGGAGCAGCCCAGGGGAGGCAGCATTCTGAGCTTGGTACCGGTGAGTGTCCTAAACTCCAAATGACTCTGAGGTGTGATCACGTTGTTTCACTGCTCCTGCAGGGGCCAGAGGCTGTTAATATGGAGGAAAAGCCCTCTCTGCTAGCGGGGCTCTGGGATATGAGGCCTGAGGCTTTTACTGCTCTGGATTAAGGGCAATCAAGCTTGCTGGCCGCTCCCAGCCAACCAGCCCCCGTCAGGGTTTCCGGCTGCATTTCCGCTCCTAATATTGGCGCCGAGGAGGAGACCAGGGATCCTCTGTCCTAAAATTACATTTGTGCACCCAGGCTGAGAGCCCTACCTGCCAGCTCGTAGACAGCAGGGCACTGCGTGGGAGAAGGAGGAGGCACCCTCCGCAGGTGCCTGTGTCAGCTAACATACTCGGGTCTGCCTGAGCAGTGCCAGCACCTCCCGAGTTAGACTTGAACATGAAGGATGTGTGCGGAGTTTGCCTCAGCCAGAACCAGCAAGCTCAGTGGGTCCATATGCACCGGGGGTCCTGCAAGAAGCCCCAGATTTGACAACAGCATGCAGGGGATGCCAGCAGAGAGCGTGTGCTGACCTGAAATAAAGCCTGTAGGATGTTAGGGTATCACTGTAAAACCGAGAGAGAGAGAGAGAGAGAGAGAGAGAGAGAGAGAGAGGCCATAACAGGGAGCCACCCACAAGGTGAATCTGCTGTCTGAGCCCGCCAAAGCCTGGAGTATGTATCAGAAGGGACAGAAACACAGGAGGTCTAGATAGGGGGATCACAGCCTCAAGCCCCCACTTTTAAGACACTTCCTCCACTTCTGCCCAGCTTTGGGAGGCATGGGGGATTAAGACAGGATGACAGTCCACACAGCAAGGAAATCCCAAGCCAAACAGGGATGCCAGTGTCCACTGTAGAAGACAGGGTGCTCTCTGAGGCCAGCCCACCCCCACCCCCAGCCTAGGGCACTGGCCTGCTGAGCTACAGTGGTTCTCCTCTGCCTGCTTAGGGTAGGGCTGTCATAGGGTCCCAGATCCAGGGAAGAGACAGGGAGGGTCCATCTTGGGTGCATTCGCTGGCCCTTCTTCAAGATCAGGCTACAGGGATTGGACTGAGGGCGGCTGGAAGCTCTGTTGTCTTTAATTCTGTTTTTACAAGGAGTGTGAGATTTACAGGCCCTGGAGGGGAAGAAAACGGTGTAACCCGAGTCAGTCAGCAGCAGTTCATGCCGGGCTGGCTTCTCTCACAGAGTCTGCCAGAGGCTGCTGAGCATCAGGTCCACACAGAGAGCCACTGCCCATGATCACCATGCTCCAGTGCTGTGATACCTACCACACACACACACACACACACACACACACACACACACACACACATGCACGCACCATGTACAGATACACAAACACACCCACACAGATGCACGAGTGTCTGCATGCAAATACTGCATGCAACCGTATAAGGAAACTCACACATATCTGTACACAACACACAGACTTACACACATGCACACAGAAATGCAGAAGCAGTTCATGTCACACACAGATGCACACACGTCTACTGGCTCAGTCCACACACAGAAACACCCACTCATGATGTTTCTTAAAGTCTAATCCCTCACACTCCATACACACACACACACACACACACACACACACACACACACACACACACAACTAAATGCTTATGGCACATAGCTGCCTACGAGGTCAACTTGGCTGAGTAGTGGCTGCTTTCGCATGTACTTTAAACTCTTCCAAAATTTTGTGTTTTCACTTTACTTTTACAATTAAATTTATATCTATGTATTTATGAGGGTATCTGCCACATGAGTGCTGGTGCCCCAAAAGGCCAGAAGAGGGCATCAGAGTCCTTGGACCTGGAGGTTGCGGACTTTGCAGTGTAGGCTCTGGGAACTGAACTCAAAACCTTGGGAAGAACAGCAAGCGTTCCTAACCACTGAGCAATCTTTTCAGCTTCCTGCCAGGCCCCCTTCCCCGTGTGTGTGTGTGTGTGTGTGTGTGTGTGTGTGTGTGTGTGTGTGTGTGTGGTACAAACAGCTCTCTGTGTAGAATGGACAAACCCTTATCCAGTCTTTGCCCCTCTTGGGGCTAGCACAGTGTGCGCTGCAGACAGAACAAAGCTTAGGCGTCTCCCTCGGGTGTTTGGCTCAGCTGTGCCACCTGGCTGAGCAGTGAGGGAGGCATGAGAAGGTCCATGTCTACCTGACCTCACCCAGCTCCTGTCTGGTCCCAGGAAACGCAGACAGAGTAGGTGTAACTCGGATGCTTCTGCTGCCACCAGGGCTGGGCAGGCGGAGGGCCTCTGTCGTGAGCTGCTTCCACGTGGAGATCGATGAAGATCAAAGAACCCTGTCTTATCTCAGGAGGACCTTTGTGCGGTGCCGGGGGACAGATTCAGCAGGAAGACGTGGGGCTTTCTAAAAGTGCGAGGGTGCTCTTTGAACAAGTGTATTATCGATTCCTCTCCATTCCCCGCTCTGAGTCAGGGGGATCCAACACAGACTTTGTGCTCTGAGGCGGTAATAACAGTGGCCTGATAAACAAGGCTTCTTGTTCAAGAATGCCAGTCCTAGCCAGTCCTAGCCAGTCTGCGGGCTCCCTGGTCACTTGCTTCCTGTCTCTGCACCTCAGAGGCAGCCTTCGGCACACTGCAAATCCCAATGTCTGGCACTCAAATCCCCAGAGACCTGTAAGATCTAGTACTCAACAGACAGTAATTGACTTTCCTGTCTCAGTTTAAATTCCTTGTCTGGGGGCTGGAGAGGTGGCTCAGCAGTTAAGGGTGTGTCCTGCTCTTGCAAAAGACCCAACTTTGGTTTCGCAGAACTCACATCAGGAGGCTCACAAAGGCTAATATAATGTCAGCTCTAGGGGATCCGATGCCCTCTTCTGGCCTCCACTGGCACAGCACCCGTGTGCATAAACCCCACACATGTACATAAATAAAAAAAAAATCTTTAAATAATCTTTGTCTTGTTATTTGGCGCATGCATGCTGTTTTGTTGTGGGACTGCAATACTGCTAATGAACAGCAGAGGGAGGTAGTGAATGCTTTTTTCCTGGTTCTGTGTCCAAGAAAACATAGTAGGTTTTTTTTTGGGGGGGGGGACCTACTTACTATGCAAGGCTGATGGCTGTAAGCTTCCTTTCCCCGGGAGGGGCTCTGCTAGTCTCTCTTCGGCTGTGTGTAGCTGGTATCCTGTGGACTAGGACAACACCTGGCCCTGAGACCCTCACCAGGGTGTTCTCTAGAGGTTAGGTGTCTCGTGACTGGCATGATCTGACTTTGGCTTCTCTTCTGTCTTTCTGTAAATGTGGGCAGGAGATGCAAAGCTTCTAAGCGGAGGTGGGTAGAGCCATGAAGGAGTATGTGCCTGCCTGTGGATAATGGCTTCAGGAATGTCAGGGTAGAAGAGAGACAGGACTCCAGGCTTTGATCTTGCCCTTGACACGGGAAGTTGTTGGTAACTCAGTTTCCCTACTGGACTGTAAAGTAGTAGCTAACATGCGGGCCCTGTCCTCCTTCCCACCGGGAGCCAGGGGCCAGCCAGCAGAATGCTGACCCCCCATCCCATCTCCATCCCAAGAAGGTTTCACCCATCTGCTCCACTGACTTAGCCTAGTGGGCGGTAGGTTCAGAGTCCTCCTCAGGCTCTGTTCAAATTGGGAGCAAGGCCTGTCCCCCAGCTCTTCCCAGCTAGAGAATGCAAAACTCTGGCCTAGATGCCCAAGGATGGCAAAAGGAAGCACATCCCCCATCCTTCAAGTCTCAGCCCTTGACTTGACGTCGGCAGCATTAAGAAAGAGGATGCAGGCTAAGTCCACATCAAAGCATTGTCCTGGCTCCTCTGTCCCTGCAAGTGACTGAAGGGCCATCTGAGACCTATTGGTCCTGGCCACCAGGCAACACCACCCCAGCACAATCAGTGGGTTCAGTGGTGGCGTTTCTTGCTGCCACTCCAAATGTCATTGCCGTGTTTGCAGCTGTCTGCAGTGTTGAAGATGGGATGGGATTTTAGTCACTTACAGCTGCGTCTTTCTTGGGAGAACGGGCAGAGAATCTGTGTGTCCTAGGGTCCAGGTGTCTTGTGACTCTTCTCATTGTTCCTTGTCTTGGTGAGCCTAGGTGACGTTCGACACTTACAATTCTGTTTTTGTTACTTTCACCTTGGTACAGTAGTTATTGGGATTCAATACGTTTGGGAGCAGAAGTTTAAAGGTGTTTCTGATATGGACACAACAAATGGTCCCGAGTTGGAGGATGAGTTTTACATGTTTGTGAAGTACTGAGTCCTATCTGCCCATGTTGTCTGGTTTAAGTTGTGAAAGAATAAAAGAAGAAAAGAACATGGGAAGAAAAAAAAGGGGGTGAATTGGAACTACATAATAGTTTTCTTAAAAAAAAAATCAGCCAAGTGTCCAGGTCCCAGGAGCAGGCATAGTCTGGGAGAGCTATGAGTTAAGAAGCCGGTAAGACAGAGCAGGAAGCAGTTCCAAGGACACTCTTAATACAGTTATTAAAATCCGGTCCGTGTCTTCCTTATAATTGGGTTTCACCGCATAATTTAAGAAAAGCCACACAAAAAAAAACCTTGCAGTGAAAAACCGGGGTATAATTTTCTTCAATCAAGCCTGACTCATGACTGCAATTACCCCGAACCCTTTGCGCGCTCGCTGCGATGCTCCAGGCCGCTCGGGGCCGCTGTGGGTGGCGACCTTTCATGTGCCTCTCAAACCAGTCTTTATTGTAAGGTTTCAAATTAGCGCTAGCAGCAATGAGCAAATTTGATAATTCGATCTCAAATTAGTTAATGTAATGTGCCAGTAACCACTAACTAGTGCGTTACAAAGATGAAAATGTATCTTTTTGGAGTTGGGATATAAAGTTAACCAGCCTGTCATTTGACTTTTGGAAACTTATTTTGGGTCTTCATTAAAGGAAATAATCGTATAAGCAATGTGCATCCTTGTGGCACTGGGGTGTCCAAAGAGGACGGGGAAGTGTTAGTGGAACCAGCAGGTCAGAGGTGAGTCCTCCTGGCTGCCCTAGGGGGGCTTCCAGAAAGAGCTACGACTGATGGCCAGGTGGCCAGTGGGGGAGTGGGCAGGAAGGACCTGGCCCACAGGATGGCTCGAATTGAACATTAGTACAACAAGGCAAGAAAAAGCTCTTGGTGGCCTGATGACACCAGACTTGGTGGCTCCCAACTGCTCAGTCACTACTAGGGAGCATGTGGCCCAGGACCAACCCCTGCTGAGCAGGCAGTAGCAAGGAACGGTCCCAGGACAGCATGTGTCACCCCCTTCCCGCCACGTGTCTGTCCTTGACAGCTGGGGTTCCCTGCAGGGTCATAGAGAGCCCAGCTCGGGAATGTTCTTGGAGCCCCTTCTCCTCTTTGCCATCTTGGTCTACATAGGACATTTGCTTACGTCACAGGAACGGAAATACAAGTGGAGAAATGTCCCTTACATCAAATGGCAGGGAAGAGATGCCCGTGCCCTGGAGACACAGTTGAGTATGGGACGTGCCTTGCAAGCACGAGGACCCTGAGTGCGGTGCCCCAGAACTCACAGAGAAAGCTGTGTGTGTGTGTGTGAGTGTGTGGGGGGTTCATACTTGTAACACCATCCGCAAGGAGATGGTGACGGGCGGATCCTGGGACTCCCCGCCGCAAAAACCAAGAGGATGATGGCACCTGAGAGAGACTGAGAGAGAGAGAGAGAGAGAGAGAGAGAGAGAGAGAGAGAGAGAGAGAGAGAGAGAGAGAGAGAGAGAGAGAGATCCTCACACAAGTCGCACTGCCGGTCACAGCGGATTACTGGCCAAGGGTTACCTAACGCTCTCTGAGAACAAGTCCATGTAAAGCCTGGAGCCCAGGCCTGGCTGGATCGTGGTACCCCTGCCTACTGACTACAGTGTCTCCTCAGCTTCTTGTTTTCCTTCCTTGCTTACAGTACTTAATGCACGTCGCTGGCATTTAATAACTGACAAGCCTTCCCTGAAAGTCGGATGGATAGTTGAGTCCTGAAGAATTCCAAAGCTCTTTTCGGGCTGGGGGAAAGGACCTCCCTGAATTCAGGAGGCCAGCCTGGCTGACCCCCCCCTGCCATCCCCACCCTGTGGGTGGCATGGGGTCAACTTGAGAAGAGACCTGGAGAAAAGGGCCAGACTGTTGCTGGGACTTCTGCCGGGGCCCTGGACCTGTGACTTTAATCAGAACTGAAAGGAACCTCCAGCTGCCCGCCTGCCTTGCCGGGGACATAGGGTTCCTGTGCGGGCCCCGGTTCCTGGAGAGAAGGGGCTGTTCTTCATCTGTGTGGCCCGAGCCCTCTCCTCCAGGAGGATGGCCCCCAGCCCACTGAGAGCCTGCACTGTTCTCTCATCTGAAGGATGAAAGGGATCTGGAAGCCGGATACCGTCCCTCGAGATGACATTCAAGCCCTCGGATACCTCCGCAGACAGAGCCACAGCCACTGGCCGGCGCATCTCCTCACCCCCCCACCCCTGCTCCCCTCACCCCATGGACCCCAGCCTCAGCTTGGAGGCCTGCTCTAATCAATGTAAACCAAGAGAGACCTGGGAGAGACTCCGATTGGAAGGCTGGAAAAGAAAAATGTGATTAAGAGTGAAATCACCGGGGATGCTCTGTCGATTGAAGGCTTTGAAACCGGCTCGGGTGGATCAGCTTTCCCTCACCGGGAGACTTCTTGTCAGTTTCCATGTAGAGCAAAAAGACGAAAAATGCAAAAGACAAAAGCGTTTGGGGCCCTCCTCTAAGGGCGGCTGGGGACAGCCACCGTGTTCTCTTGGCTCGTTAAAAAAAAAAAAATCTCACAAAGAACGATAACTACAGCAGGGCTTACTTCTGACAGAAACAAAGGGAAAGTGGGTCTCATGGTGTCTCCCTGCCATACACCATGCCCTTGGGCACCAGCTCCTCCTGGCTTTCATCCCCACCCTCCCTCCAGGCCCGCCACCCCGGCTGCTGAAGTGTTTAGACCCACTTTCAAATCCACGGACACAGCATCCTGGGTGATGGATGTACCCCTTCCTGGAACTTGAATATAAATCCCAGCCTGCACTGGGATCCCTGGCAGTTTGATTGATTGGTGCTGTGGCTGGGTCGCCCTGTAGACTTTCAGAAACTTGGAAAGGTAAGGGATGCAGGGAGAGGGAAGACAAGAGTCGTTGAGCCAGCCAGCCAGAGACGCACATGCTCAGCTCACAGTGGGTTCCTGTCTCCCTGGCCTTCCACTGGCAGGGTGAGGCTACCCAGTCAACCTCCCTCTCTCTCCGGAGACGGCTAATCTGCAGGCTTCTCTGCTCGTGTGATGTTACTGCCGCTTTATCGTAAACCGGGCAATGAAGACATTTTAAAGCTGCTACTGTTATAATCTATCCAAGATGAGGAAAGGCGAAAGCTGAAGTCAGCCCCTTGGCTTCCTGTCCCATCTGTCTGCCAGACCGTGGCTGCAGGTCCAATGCATCCTCCCCCAAAGGCTGGTAATTGCGAAAAATGAAGCAACTGAACCTGAACCAGGAGATCAAAGAACTAAGAACTCAGGAGAAGAGGAGGTGGGAGGGGGAGGGGCTCTGGGAAGCCGTTGTGTGTGTGTGTGTGTGTGTGTGTGTGTGGGGTGGGTGCATGCGTGCGTGGGGGGGTAGGCTAGTGATGGGGGATGCCCCCAAGCCCACCAGGTCTTTGTCAGTGAGGCAGGGGGCAAACTAGGCAGAGAGACAAGATACAGGCACATAAAATTGGCTTCCTGGCTGGAGCAGAAGACTAGACCAGGATGGGGGAATGGAGACCTGAGGGTATCCTGAGTGATCCTGGCCTCTTTTCTGGCCTCCATCTGACCTGAGTCTCTCCTGCTATCTGGCTACCTAATCAGCCCCGTGAAAGTGACCTTTCTGCCTCTGCAGAGACTTAAGTTTCCTCCCTCCATCTCAGCCTTCCCTCTCCA